AAAAAAAAAAAGAAAAGAAAAGGAAGGAAGGGAGGGAGGGAGGAAAGAAGGAAGGGAGAGGAATAACAAATGATGAGAAGAAGCAGTTTTGAGACCTTGCTGTTATGCCCAGATCGAGGGGACTCGCCAAAAGACCACCACAGAGACTGAACCCCATGTGTAAAAGCCAAGAGCCTTTATTTCAAGCTCGGAGTGTGGACTCATCTGATGCAGCAGTGAGAGCAGAGAGCCCGAGCCTGGGCAGGGTGGGGTTTTTATCATAGCCGAGGTTGGGGTGAGCGGATTTCCGGGGTTCAGGACCCTGATTGGCTGACATTTGTCTAGGGATATAGGGAATGTTTGGGATGTCAGGTACTTCCCCTTAGATGTTGGTCCATCCCTGGGTGGGGTCAGCTCATAGCTTCTCCTGGATCCCAGTGTTGCCTGCCTGTAAGCCTGTCACAGAAGCTGTGTCTGGTCCTCTTACGCCTGCCATGGCACTTGTGTGTGTGGTCAAGCTGTTTTGCCCCCCCCCCCCCACACACACACACACATGCACGCAGCTGAATCACGCTTCTCCTGTGCCGAGGTTTCTTCGGAGGACTGCCTAAACTTCAGAGACGTCTTTACAGCTGCTCAGTGTGTCACTCTGGTTGTTTTTTTTTTTTCTGGACAGAGCTCTTTCAGAAAAGATTGTCTCGGTTCTGCCAAGGATGAAGTGCCCCCATCAGCTGGAGCCCCACCAGATCCAGGGCATGGACTTTATTCACATATTCCCTGTTGTGCAGGTGAGGCCTTCTCTGTGGATTCCTGTCTCGGAACTAAGAGTTTCCGGAGCACAGCTGGCAGCCCAGCCTGGACCCCGGGTGCAGTGAGTGTGGGACGCACGTGGTGCGGCACAGTTGACTGGCATTCTGGTCATCATCCTTAAAAGGCAGCTGGTGTGCCATGGACCACAGTTCCACACTGGCCTCTGCTATAGTCTCTGAATGTTCCCATCAGATGCTTTTCTATTTCTTTTCAGCTGTGTGTGTGTGTGTGTGTGTGTGTGTGTGTGTGTGGTCAGTGCACAAATGTTAGTGCATCAGTGTGGAATTACACATGTGTGGGGGCATTCAAGTGTGTGTAAGTGTCCGTGTGTGTGCATGCACATGAGTGTATGCATATGAAAGCCAGTGGACAGTGTTGGGCATTGCTCATTAGGTGTCTGCTTGCCAAGTAGACTAGACCAGCTGGCTAAGGCATGTCTTCTTCTCCCACCCTGGATCCGAGTCTGTGACAGTAGATCCTCTGTGGGAGTGCTAGGGGAGTCGTGGTAGGAAGTGACTGTGTTAGGAGGTTCCCTCCACTGTCTCTGACAGTGGGAACTCTTGAACAGGTTCTCTGAGAGGCTCCTGGGATGCAGCCTTCTTTACCTTCTCTAGCGGAGCACACTCTCTGTGGTCCATTAAAGAGCATGTCCGCAGACGGAATAGAAACAGGCATGAAAGGTCAGGATCGGGGTCCAGTGATCCACCCACCACTCCATGGTCAGTTCAGTTTTTGTTTGTTTGTTTGGTTGGTTGGTTTTTTGGTTTTTTGAAACAGGGCTTCTCTGCATAGCCCTGGCTGTCCTGGATCTCACTTTGTAGACCAGGCTGGCCTCGAACTCACAGAGATCCACCTGCCTCTGCCTCCGGAGTGCTGGGATTAAAGGCGTGCACCACCACACCTGGCTACATGGTTAGCTCTCATCTTCAGTCTGACACAGCCTAGAACCACAGTGGAGGGGACTGGAACGTGTAGATCAGCTTGGCCCGTGGGTTGTCTGCGAGGACTGTCTCCATTACCATAACTGGTGTGGGAAGACCCAGCCTGGAGCGAGCACCATCCATCCCTGGTTTGGGTCCCCGGATTCTGTGAGCATAGAGAAAGCTAGCTGAACAGGAGGTGGGCGTGCATTCCTCTCTGCTCTTGACCGTGGACAGGAGAGTGACTGTCTGCAGCTCCTGACTGGACTTCCTCACAGCGACAGACTTGTCGCCTGTAACTGAGGTGAAGTAGACGTTTCCCCTCCTGCTTTGTTTTTGTAGGGATTTTCCAGCGCAGCAACAGAGAGGAAAGTAGGGCAGACAGCACGTGACCCGGGCCATGGTCCTCGGTGGGGGTAGAGGAGGCTCCAGTTCTTCTGCCCTGCTTAGGATTTCAGGTGCTCACGGCAGAAACGTGTTCTTCCCAGGTTGTACACGGTGCAGGAGCGTGTCCCGTGGTATATGTAGCATGTTGTTTTCATGAAGCCAACCTAGTTTGGGCACCTGCTTCCTAACCACGTCCTTTACTAGTACTGGCTGCCTTCTAAACATGCAGAATTTGAGTTATTGGAATGGCTCTGGGATAAAACACTTGTGCGACGCTGAAGGCCTGAATTGGATTCCCAGAACCCACATAAAGATGAAGAAGAGAAATGACTCCACAAAGTTGTTCTCCGACCTCCACATCTGAGCCATGGCATATCTGTGTGCACCCTGCACGCAAGTAATAAAAACAAACAAACAAAAAAACTATAGAATTTCCCCATTCCTACAGGAGTAACTTGTTATGGGCCATATATCTAGGTGTCCAGGCAACTCGACCTGGCCAGGTCATATGCTACGAGCTTGGTAAACCCCGCTATCCCAGATTGCTTTGAGGATGTAGGAGTGCTCATTGAGGAGGGACTGCCAACGCTGACAAATGGTTCTCTCTTCCAGCATGCTCTTGAATGATGGGAAGGATGAGTGAAGAGCAGGAAGGAGAAGTAGAGGCTCTGTGTGTGCACTGTCCACAGGGTGTGTGTGTGTGTGCATTGTCCACAGTGTGTGTGTGTGTGTGTGTGTGTGTGTGTGTGTGTGTGTGCGCACAGTCCACAGGGGGTGTGTGTGTGCACTGTCCAGAGTGTGTGTGTGTGCACTGTCCAGAGTGTGTGTGTGTGC